GCCAGAAATTCTGCTTTACGATCGATCCGTCAAAGAAAGAGACGAAGATTCGTCATTTCGAATTGGAACTATGGATTTTCTGAACTACACATCAAGAGTCTTTTTACGAGAGAATGAGAAGAGCATGATGGTGTTTATGGACCACAGAATGGAGAACGAAGAAAAAAGAAAGAAAGAAAGAGAGATGAGATGAGCTCGTAAATACGATGAAAGGATACTTCACGAGATACACCGAATAACTATAGCTATCAATGGGTATCACTTTTTAAAGGTGTTAACGTGATCAAACGATATATTAAAAAATAAGAATTACAATTTGATATTAACCCTTTATGGGTCTGTGTTATTTTCAGATAACATGATCATTTTTCGGCATTTTATCACAAATAATTTCAGTTCAAATTTTTGTTTTCATCTGCACATGTATGTTTATAATTGTTGAGATTTTCAGTTGCATTTTTTGTTATATTTATAACAAAAATTCGGCCCACAGAGGGTTAAATTAATAGTAATTGTTTCATCTAGATATAATATAGTGATTTTAGAAATTATCATCAGGTTTTATCACTATAAATCATATGACAGATTTTATGTAATCGAATATTAACCGAAAAACGAGAAAAATCTATATTATATATTATAGTATACGAGATAGAAAAATATAAATAAGGGAAAAAATGAAGAAATAGAATTATTAAACTATTTTCGTATAACGATTATACGAGATTTATTTTTCATCGTTAACCAGTCCGATGGAAACATTTAGAAGAACCTAGTTACAATGTGTCGTGCCATTGCTCGGTTTGCCTTTAGGAACGTGCTCGTCGCACAAAATACTCCGACCAATTAAGAGTAGAAAAAGAGAAAAATTATAATATAGATGAATAATAAAAAGAAACATAATCGTTTCGTTTACTCCCACCCCGCCCCATACAGTCCTATATAATCGAACATATCAATCAATTCATTTCTAATTTTATTTTCATCAAATTATTTTATATTATATATCGACAAATTGTTGTTATTGTTGTTCTTGTTGTTGTTCATAAATTTTATTTAATTTAATCGAATAGTTTCTATCGAAAAAAATTATTTCTACAAATAATAAAATATTCAATATATTTTTTTCTTTCTTTAATGTATTCATATGAGAAAGAATATCTGTGTGTGTGTGTGTGAGAAAGAATGAAAGAAAGAAGATAAGTCTCATATATATACTATGTAAGTCCGGTTGTATACGCAGACGGCACGCACGCGGTACGTGTTCACGAGTGTAGCGAAAAGTGTTCGTGCCGAACACGTGTTCGCTAACCTAATGCATTAGCTTCGGTGCATAAAAAAAAGAACATTTTTTTGTTCTTAAACCCGTAAGACGATGCGAATCTCGGACTGGTGGATACAATAAAGACCCCCACCCCCTTTTCCCAGTCACCCCATTTCTCTGTCAAACGTTCAACTTTTATTCGGTCAATAATTTTCTGCATTTTTCTGCAATATTTGAATTGTAATTACTTTTACACATACCACACAAGTTCATTATCTCAATATTATTATTAATTATTGCAACTAATGCATTTTATTTTAAATTTATATGCATGCATGTATGCATATGTGTGTGTGTGTGTGCATGAATGCGATTAATTTAAATTCACGAGAGAGAAAATAATTTGAATCTATCGAAGAGGAATAAGATGAAAGAAGAATCGATAAAACGCATTAGATCGGTTTTATACTACCAATAGGGATTATTATCGAGTAAATTTGTTGGAGATTGGTGAAGGAAGGGTGGGGGGTGTTGCGGGGTATTATAATAAAGGGATGACGAACAAAAGAGACTTGCGACTGAAAGCAAAAGTCCAATCGAAAGTCGCGGAGGCGAAACGTTTCTTCTTATTTATCGTGGCTATCGTTGGCACCTTTCCAGTCCGACCGTTATAAATCTCAAGCCATTTAATATGCAAATCTCCGACAGCCTCAGGTCTCTCTCTCTCTCTCTCTCTCTCTCTCTTTCTTTCTTTCTTTCTCTTTCTCTTTCTCTTCATAGCTTTTCGTTTTTCTCTATCTTTAACACACCGCGAACGAGTTTCAATCGCGAATGTAATTCATACTACGCGTAATGTGTGCTCCTCTTTTAACCCTTCGACACATCCCATCCCGCGATATTATCAACTATACTATTCTCTAACTATACTATTTGTGTGTGTGTGTGTATGATATTTCATTTAATCCAAAATATTTGCGATATTTATTTCTCATTTTTTATTAGATCAATTTTATTTCATGCATTATTACTGAATCTTTTAATAAATTCATTTCCTATTCGATCCAAAAAAATAGTATACATTTCACACATTATGATATTTTACATTAATTAATTAATTGAGTAAATTAACTAATTTAGTTGAGACGGTTTAATATCAGCATTGGTATATATATGTACCAATTAATTATACCTTTTTAGTAAAGTATGTACACATAAATCGAATATGAACGAACGAACGCACGCACGCATGCATAAATTTTTTTTGTTTTAACTCTTTCTCTTTCTCTTTCTCATTTGAAATACATTCCCCTTTAAAGACACTTATCAAAGAAGGTGTGAGAAAAAGTGGCTATTTGGAGAGTGCCGATAGCAAACACAAATTGGTGGTGGCTCGACTAATACCCGCGACCATTTGATGAATGGTCTTTTATATGGTTCCCCGTGTGCCAAGGCGTTATGCGCTGCGTTAACGTTGAATTATCGCGACCATGGTGTAGGGAGGAGGCATACCACTGTGCCACGCCGGCACAATAACGGACCCTGCGGGTGGTGGACTCACACACCATCAACACAAGATCGGATCGGATCGGATATCTCCGACAGTATACGTGAAACGTCGCGAGTTCTTTAGCCCTATTACCTTTTCCCTCATCAAACCCCCACCTCGTTTTTCACCTAACTCTAACCCAACCCCGTGATCTTGACAACCCCCTTTAACACCCCCTTTCAACTTCTCATTCCTCTAGAAGAGTTTTTAATCTCTAGATCCGCGAGAACACATTGATCCGAAATGTATATACATGTGTGTATATTCGTCTCGTGAAGGTGTGTCTGCGTGTGTGTGGTAACCGTGCATGTAGATATATATACGTATAATGTTCGGCAAGGATTTATGAGCTTAAGAAGAACTTTCGATCTTTTATTACTGCGCGAGCCAAACGATCCTTAAATATTCTCTCTCACCTGTGTGGTATTTATTCGATTAATAGGATGTATCCTTGTGTCTTCGAGAGAGGGAGACTGAAGATAATTCTATACAATTTATTCGTAATCTTAGGATGCGAATGTTAGTTAATAACATTTTTTTTTAATATCGATGACATTGCAATTTTGATTTTAATCGATGCAATTGATAAAACAATTTGATATATTTAATCCCAGTCACGATAATTAATTTAGAAAACAACACACCCACAAAATGATCAAATCTTCAAATGGTTCGCATTCGTATAGGAACTTTTATCTTATAAACCAATGAAGAATGGTTTAATAGTTTTATTAGAAAATGTCTACTATTGTGGATTTAGTTTAGGTCTGTTTATGAGATGTCAAGAAGTCTGGTTAGAGACACACGAATGGCACAAAGTCGTTGGTCCTAACGTCTCTAATTATTGCCAGCGGAGATAGGTACAATAATAGCATCGTCGTCTACTTGGATTCAAAGACACTCGTCGTCTTCTTCATCGTCTTCGTCTTCGTCTTCGTCTTGGTCGTCATCATCGTTCTCGTTCCCGTTCGAGAGGCAAGAAAACACGAGAATCTGAGGCATCACTGAACACTGGATTGATTGATGGAGGAGGAGTCGCCATGTTTATAATTAGGCCGACGTTTCCGGGCAAACTGAACACACATACGTATCGCGTTCCCTTTATTACTTTTATCTTTCTTCAATCGAAGAATCCCCAACATATTACTTTCCACGTTTATTTGTTTTTTTCTTTTCATTTAATAATCATTCGTTTGATTCATTTTAAATACAAAATTTAGGATGAAATACGTGTAATTCTTTCCTATAAACAACACGAGATAAAAATAATTGCAACAAACCTTTTTGTACAATATTGTAAAATACTTTTCTACAAAACTGGATAACATGATTGTTCTCATTTCATATGATTTCACACGATACAAACGTTTTTTAATAACCCGAAAGGTGTTACCTAAATTAAATATTAGATTGTCCCATAAGTTCCTTCCTTCTTTTTTCGGTACAACTTCAGTAGACGATTTTAATTTACCGTAATAAATAATTATATTAAATTAAATAAAAATATGAAAGATAAATAAAATGAAGTATAAAGAAGAAGAAGAAGAAAAAAAATGTAAAAGAAGTAGGAAATAAAAAGAAAATAATAAAGAGAGTAGGGTTGAGAGTAGTTTAGGAACGGAAACACGGGTCTGACAAGGCGCACACTTTCCTTGTTTCTCCAACTTACGGACTTGCATTCTAATTTCGTTCGCACTCACTATAACTTCTTTCTCTCTCTCTTTCACTCTTTCTATTTCTCTTTCTTTCTATTCCCTATGTACGGTACGGCAGATGCTACGCGTTATCGGACCTTTTAACCACGTGGACGTTTACGACGTTACGCTGGAACGTTCAAGGATCTATCCACGTGTGCAGGAAGTTTCCAAGAGTATTATAAAGTGATGCGGGTTTCGATTCGTTTGTATTTTCTTTCTCGTTCACACGAATTCGTTTTTTCTTTTCCCCCTTATTGTCTTTCTATCCCTTTCCTCGACCGTTGACCAACCACCAACCACCAATCACAATGATTAATACTTTTCGCGTGATAAAAAGGGGAATTGAAAGTGTTTTTACGAATTCGCGATAAGATATTGTAATATTTTCTATTGATTAGATTGCATATGAAAGTAATTACTTAAGGTTTAACTACTTTAACAAATTTTTAATGATATATTTGTAGTGTATTATTATAAATAATTTCAAACTTACCACGACCTTGCATGAAGCTGAATAAATCGTCCAAAAATTCTCGTCTTCCAGGGTCGTCGCTGAGCTCGTATAACTGTAAAAATTAAAAACAAATGAAACAGATTAATCCAAAATTATTCTCATTAATTTATTATACAATAATTATCTCTATTTGAATTTTAAATGAATTACTTGGATTGTATACCAAAAGAAAAAAGACGAAAGAAATTCCTAAAAAATGATTTAACCTATGTTTCCATTCATTTCAAATATCTACCATTAAAAATGTATAAATTGTTATTGCAAATGGAATGTAAATTTTATCTTTCGATAGATAGATTAACATTTTATTCAAACGTATGAAGTCAGAGAAAAGAGGGTTGGGGAATGGGGGTTGAGTGGGGGTGGGAGTATCGTATAACCAATTCTTCTTCTACATATTGTGGATTGTGTAGGGAAATAAAAAATAAATAAATAAGTAAATAAAAGAGAAAGAAAGGAAGGAAGGAAGGAAGGAAGGAAGGAAGGAATAAAACGTTACTCGCGGCACGGTAATAAAAACAGGAGTGAAACGAGCGAGCTCATAGCGACGGACAGATTAGTTAGCTCCGATTATTAATGATTCCGTTTAACCCGAAAGCCCTTGTGGTACGAACGAAACTGGCCCTTCGGGCCTAGTTCAACTATCTCTCTCTTTCTCTCTTTCTCTCTTTCTTTCTCGTATTATCATATTTGTTATGTACGATGTGCTATATCTAATCTGAGAGGCTCTAATTGCTTTTATAATACGAGTTTCTTTCCCCCTCGCCCCCTTACCCCTAGCCCTTAAACGTTTTCTTGGACAAGCCGCACACGTCTCTCTCTCTCTCTCTCTCTCTCTCTCTCTCTCTCTCTTTCTATTCATTTTTTCTCTTTTTTATTTAAAATTTTTTATTGTTGCCGTTGTTGTTGCTGTTGTTGTTGTTTCTTTTTATCTTTTTATCTTTTATCTTTTATCTTAGAAGTCTTACACGCTTCTCGTCTTGTCGGTGAATAGAGTACCTTTTGCTAAAGGTACCCTTTTATTCTTACTCGTAGATCTGCCATATACGATAAATTTCATTCAAACTAATCGTGAAAGTAAGTACACGGAATATGCATGATGATGCTTGTATATATGTAGATGTTATTCTGTCTCTTTCTATGGAACTTTAGCTTTACGAAACCATGAAGAGAGGAGAGAGAGAGAGAGAGAGAGAGAACAAGCATACACACCATCATATCGAGGGTGAATAATATTTCATTTATGGCTTCGTCTCGTGTTTCGATCGTTCATCGTCTCCCTAGTTTCCCCCCCCCACTTCTATATCTTTTTCTTTCTTCATTATTTTTTTTGTTTTTCTTTTTTTTCGCGAGGTACTTGGAATAATTCGAGAATGAATAAAGATGTGATAATGTTTGAAAATTAATTTTTTTCCGTTCATAATTTTATTCGTTTGATTTTTATCATTGATCGTGATTATATTTACGTGTTTTTTTTTTTTTTTTTTATTCAAGTATAATAAGCGAGCAAGTGTCGTTTATTTTAATAAAAATAATTTTATTGATTCGATAGCGTTGAATTTTAATTTATTCATTGTGTTAGATGCATTAATAATGCATTAGATTAGATCACGCGAATCAATAAACATTTTTTGTTTGTTCGTATATATATATATGATATTTAATTATTTTAATTATATAAAATCTAAATGAAAAAAAAAAAATGATAGGAGGACGATGAAAAAGAAACGCTCGGGGAGAAAGGAAAAAAAATTATTAAACGTATAATAAACTAAACGAGTAAGTGCAATAAACAGAAAAAAAAAATGAAAAACAAGTGACACTAATGCACTTTAATATATGCCATTCGATGAATTAAACGTATTCGATGAAAAATATAAGAGAGAGAGAGAGAGAGAGAGAGAGAGAGTAAAAATAAAATAATAATCACTTGGATATAATTTGAATCATACCCAATCATTTCTAATTCCTGTGATACGTGTGTCTTACCTAACTAGAATAATTCAAGTCACATTAGAGATTCTTTGATAACTGTGATTATAAAGTCAATTCATTTTTTTTTTTTAATCTAACGTATCAGATAAATATCACATGATTAGAGTCACGAATACGAACGACAGTTAATGAATGATGAATTCGATCAAACCATTTTACTGTTTTCAAAACTAATGACAGTATTCCGATCAAGAACCTAATTGCAGTTATCCGATATTAAAGTGCATTAACCAAACCGTAAAAAGAAAAATGAAAAAACAACCCAAAATTATAAACTAAACGTCTCGAATGAATTTTATTTGATCAGGAGAGGGTTGAAATGGTGGGGAAAATGTTCTTTCGTATTTTTCACGATAAATAATTGCAAAGTAGTATAATCCACCCCCTCACCACATTGTAATATTAAAAAACAAATATTTATAGTTAAGCAATGTGAATTAAAATAAGAATATTATGAGTACACATAGATTCTTAGATGATTATAAAAAAAAATAAATGACTTTATCTTATTGGAAACAATTTAAATAAATAATTCGAACTTTTTCGTAATGTTATACAAAAAAAGGTTTAGTAGTATAGCAATGTGCATTAAAATATAAGTATTAATTCCCTCCACCTCCCCTGATTGCGGGATAATGAATCGGATAAAAGAAAGGAAAGGAAAAAAAATGTATCAGATGATTATCTAATCACCGTGTATCGATAATAAGCATCCTCGAAAGGAGACACGCAATTCTTTATTATACTTAGGTTGGAAATATAATGCCACATGCGATATTTATGCATTTTATTAAATAGTTAAACGATAATTTATAACGAACGTAGTAATAACAAGCGGAGAATCAATGTGCCGATAAGAAAATTGCTATCTTTTCTCTATAAGATGAATATTTAAACGAGATTAAACAACTACTACGACAACGATGATGAGATGATGATGACGATGATGATGATGATGATGATGATGATGACGATGAAATGAAAAGAAAAGAAGTAGGAAGAAAAAGAAAGAAAGAAGGAACACAACACAGGAAGTTTATGGGGAAAAGAATATTATGGGAATACATATATACACACATTTATATAGGAGGGGTGCCTTGCCATTAACTTTGCGGTTGAAAAATTGCAGGGCGTAAGAGGATGGGTGGCGACCACTTTTCGAAATATTTACCTTCTTATGTACGAACAATGAATCGTATTACAGGTGAAACGAGAAAAAGAAAAAAATAAGATTAAAGAATACGATGTCAAAGTTAACAGGTGACTTCCTTTCTCGTTAGCGATGTAGTTTCGTATTAAATGATACACTGTTTTATTATCCCTTACATTTTCATTTTTCATCGTATCACACACAAACACACACACACGATCCCTTAATTTAAATCATTTTGTTCCTATAAATATACATATAACAATACAATAATTAAATAACATTTATCAAATGAATTTATTCATTCGTTTAAATATGTTTCATTAAATGAAATTATAATGAGAATAACTGGAAGTACATTTAATAAATGATCTTGAAAGGGATTTTTTTTTAAAAAGAAGATAGACTTCATCCGTTCAACCATATACATACACCATAAATACCTACATACATACATACATAAACACAATTTTCATGGCAACGCCCTCGCGGGATTCTCCCGACCACCACAAACCACCACCCCCACTCATTTAACCAACTCAACAAAACTCAACCACCCTTTTTCCCCCTTGCTTTCCCCTTTTACTCTTGAACTCAACTTCCCTCTCTCTCTCTCTCTCTCTCTCTCTCTCTCATATTACTCACAAGTGGAAAGAGTATAGAAGAATGAAGTAGGAGGTGGGTTGTTTGGTTGGTTCTCTCGTTCGACTGACGGCATTTCTCAACGGTCCATTTTGTACACCACTTTCTCGTAGTTTTTTCTTTCGCTATGCCGAAGCACCGATGAGCTCGTTAGGGCGAAACCTTAGAGAGGGAGGAGGGGGAAGAAGAGGAAAAGGATAACCATGAGTAGTATATGTGAACGAGAAGAGAAAGAGAAAGATAGTAGAACACCTTAAGATATGGGGGAGGTAGTAGTAGGTTAGGGGAAGTATCAGGGTGGTGGGAAGGGGGGTTAGAAAGAGAGAGAAGAGGGGACTGACTGGTCAAGAGTAGGAGGAAGAAGAAGAAGAAGAAGGGATCTGAAGGGAAAGGGAAAGGGAACCTTCAACCAGCTTATATTGATTGATCTACAGTTAAGCGGACTGACGGCAGCCACGTGAAGATCCAAGAAATACTATACATATATATATTCTATCTCTCTCTCTCTCACTCTCTCACTCAGTGTGTTTCTTCATCTTTGTTCATCGCGTTGGGTCAACGATGGAGGTAAATAAAGACAGGCCAACGGAATTTGCTCTCGATGATGCATGTGCCCGGTGTGCTCCGCCCCTCTCTCTTTCTATCTTCTTCTTCTTTTTTTTTCATTTTTATTTTTATTTTTTTAATTTTATTTTTATTTTTTTTTTTTTTTCTTCATTTGTTGCGTTACTTTTCTTTTTGGTTAGGTCCGAAGCGAAGAAGGTTGTGAATAATAATTCCTGATAGAGAGAATGAATGTGTGTGTGTGTGTGTGWGAGAGAGAGAGAGAGAGAGAGAGAGTGGTATTGGGAGACGTTGATCGGCCAAAACTTTTTCCCTTTCGAAGATTCTTGATGATCGATGTACGAGCTTTAAGTAGCGCCAGGAAAGTTGAAAGACTTCGTGATTAGCGTCTCTCTTTTTCTCATCATCGATCTGACGACCACGGGGCGAGATGATTTTTTTTCTTCTTCCTTTTTTTTTTTTTCATCTTCTTGCTTCGTTAAATCGATCTCGGATTATGATCGTTGTTGTTGTTGTTGTAGGTGTTGTAGGTGTTGGTGTTTATTTTTTAGCTTTTTATCATTCGGGTAAAGGTTCCTTCCCTTCCCTTCCCTTCCACTCCCCAACCTTTTGCGTTGAGAAGGGGTATTTGTACGAGTTCTCGAATATGTAACCTTTTTTCTTCTTTCTTTCTTATTTTTCTTTCTCGTGGACTAATATAT